CCCGCCCATCACCGCCGCAGTCGTGGCGCCCCCCAGCGGCCGCGGCGCATCCCGCAGCGACACACACACTCGTCCCGTTCAACCACCTTTTATTTCCTCCTTTCCATAAAAATTTGTAATAGCCTTCCTCTTACATTGTATACAAAATATTTACTCTACCGAATAAATAAAACACGAACATCTTGCAGACAGTATATGATCTCAAAAGAGCATCCATCCATCCTTCCCTAACCTAGAGGTTCACAATCGTCTCACATTAAAAAGACATTCTCCCTTCTCCCCACCTCAACTCTGGCCCCCCCAACTCTCAGGGGAGGAAAGGAGAGGCACAGCACGAGTCACCCGTGAGGAGAAAGCAGAAGTGCACCAGCTACCTGAACAGAAAAGCTCAGGGTAACTGCCTCCAAAGAGCTTGTACCTGGGTTACGGTATAATCGTGTCCTAGAGAGATTTCTATGTCTGCACACATATCAGTAACAGCATGTAAGGGATGCGCTTACCTTTACCTGAACACACCCGTGTCCCTTGCTGGTCTATATGTCATCCTGACACAGAGAAGCTGCTCTTAGCAGAAGCACACCGGGTTAGCCAGAAAGGACAATCTTACAAAGAAAGGAGTTTCTCAATAGATGCTCTGGAAAATGCCTCTCCTGTCAGCCCCAGCGACAGTCTGAACTAGGAAGAAAGACTTTTGGTAATAGCAGAGCACATGGACAGGGCCATCGCAGTGACAGCAAATGCGACACCCCGTACGGGTTTGGGGAAAGCAGCTGCCGACAGCCCCAGCTCAAGCCCCAAGCTCAGACTTCACAGCCAGCTCTTGCGACATGGCTGGGATCACGCTGCACGAGGTTGTAAGCGTGAAGGGTTATGAAGTGCTTTATGGATGGGGCAAGGCCACATCGAGAGGCACGCTCCCACTCGCTGCCAGGGCAGGTCCAGTTCCAGCCAGTGCCCCATACCAGTCCCTCGCATCGCTACAAACCTCACATTTCCCCTGAAGCCCCTCTTCCTTACCCTGATCTCATTCTCCTCCGAGACTGCTGCCTTGTCTTCCTTCCCCACTGAACTCTTATGCAGAAAACTGCTCCCTTTGCCCCCCAACAGCCCACCACCCACCCAGGACCCGACTGCACGTGGCAGTTTCCCACACCCCTCCTCTCCTTCCACAGTCACGCTACAGGGCAAACGTCCCAAATCTGTTTAGGCTTGAACTCCCACGGGAGACAGGGTTAGTGAAGACAGAGTTGGGTCTTGGCAAAGACTCTTTCCTGTACCCATCTGCCCACTATGTCAGGAGCTGGCAGAGGGCCCAGCAGACTTCTCCTGGTGTAATAGGAGGGTAAGAAGGAAAGGAGCAATTACTGAATTTGCTGGGTTTCACTCCAGATGGAGAAATGGAAAGAAAGGTGCCAGGGGGAGGGGAGAAATCAAAGTCTCTTGGTGGATAATCAAGTAAGTAGCTCTTCTCATACTTGCTGAGCTGGCTAAAACAAGAGCAGCACAGCCAGAGGACAAGTGGATAAGGAGCCCCCAGTTCAGGCTGGATCGTGTCTCTCTCCAGCTGGAACGGAGAATGAGCTGTTATCAATCCAGTCCCAGGTCAGGGCACAGCAAGATGATGGGAGCCTGCCTGGGATGCAGCAGCAAAGAGCAAGAGCAGCTGGCTGCAGAGTCACAAGTTCAGTCGCTCAGCGGTCTCCTTCCTGAACATAAATGAAGTAAATGCAGGCACCTCCCCAGAAGTATATCTGAATTATGAGAAAGCTGGACAAACCCAGCCTGCCCTCTCCTAGGACCAGAGAGATCAGAGCCAGCACTCTGGATGCAGACACCAGACTTGCCGAGGAGATCTGGGTGCCAAGTCCATGACCCAGCACAATGAAGGGGATGAGAGAACAGGATGGCCGAAGGCATGCTTGATCTGTCAACGAAGCACAGGTCTGAGACCCAACCCGCACCAACTCATCCCAAACCCTCCAATTCAGCCAAGACACGCAGCCTGCTGCCGTGCCGTGAGCCCAAACCTACTCACGTCCCCCGGCTACAGCCAGGCTATCGCTGCACCAAAGGCACCTCAGGGACAGAGGGCAGGGTGGCCAGGGAATCTGGCAGGCTTAAGGCTTCTCCTCTTGAGGGACAGATACAAGTTATGGATGAAGAATGGCAGCCTCTTGTTCTTTCATGTTCCAAAACAAAGGACATTACAAAACAAGGCTGTCTTCCCCACCAGCCCACTGCTTTTTTCCAGGATCACTTGGATGTCTGTAATCAAGCATTCAAGGCCTTTATCTTCAAACCCATCCACCTGAAGTTTGGTGTGAAGGTACTCTTTAGGCACTTAAACAAATGGCTCAATTATCAAAAGCACTTAACATCGTAGCAGCCTCCACGTGTGAAGGACCTCCACATTTTATGTGAGGGGAAAAAAAAAAAAAAAAGGATTCTTCAGCACTCAGGTAAGGAACTGTTTGAAAAATCTTGGGTCAGAGGTTACTATTCACTAGGAGCATTCATCCAAGCAACACCCCACCTTTGGCAGTAACATTTTGCCTCAAAAACTTCCTCCTGAAGCCTGAAGTGGACAGAGACCGGGGTAGGAAGCAGACAAAAAAACTGTTTCTGTAGGTGGTTAAGCAGCTGCCAAATGCATCCCCAAACCAGCTGCATTTCAGCACACAAACCTTGTTGTGGGAAAGGGAGGCTGGGAGGCATATAATTTGAGAAGAAATAAAACAAAACCAGTCACCCCTTACGGGAAAGAAATGTTTAAAAAACTTAGGAGAAGCCCTCTCAGGACCCGTCTGCAGACAGCAGGGCAGTAACCGTGCTTCCATGCCAAGGAATAGTCTGACAAGACCTTGCAAAAATAGCAACATTTTGCCCTTCAGCAGAACCTCACCAGTGCATCTCACTGCCCACACAGCTCCGCAGAAAATTAGTCACAAACACTTTGTTTAGACCAGCCAAAGTTAAGGACTGTTGAACTACTGCTGCATCCTCACAGCCTGGCCTCCAAATGCCCAGTTCATGCTTTCCTCTACACATCGCAGGCAGAGTTTGGATCACTTCAAAGCCAAAGTGCTGACTGTGGGTCAGGACCTTGACTCCTACTTGGTGCATGGGTTGTCTTCGAGTGGTAGAAATCTACCACCAGCAGAATTATTCCAGCTGGTCCACTCAGTCCACAGGCTGACCCTGCTCTGCAGGCAGCTGCCAGAGTGGCTGTAGGCACATTTCATCGTACCTCCCTCTGGTTCACGATGCTGTTTCCAGCAGCCTCCCTGGGTGTGCTGGCAACGCGTTAACTCAGCCACCGCGCTGGGTGCTGCAGCGTGCCCTGCAAGCTGTGCTCCTGCCAGCCTGCAAGCACAGCCGAAAGCCTTTCTGTCTAGAAAGAATAGCCTGGTCTAGAAGGTTGCTTTGGGGCCACATCTTCAGGGAAAAGAGACACGGCCAGCAACCAACTCCAGGTACCTCCTACAACAGTGACTGCTGCCGAGTTCAACTGGCCATCAGCGGACAAGCAATTCCTCCAGCTTCCTCAGGGATGGTACACTTGCTCTCAGGTAGCCTTCCAGGAGAGCTCTTCCTGTTCTACTTCACTGTCCCAGGACTGAAAAACCCTCTGAGAACCATTTTTCCTTGTGATATTGCAGCATCTTTTAGGGGCCAGGTGTGGAAAACGCACAACAGCCCAAAGCAGTTAGGAGAGAAAGCAGGCAGCAGTTCGGAGTGCTGAGGAGCGAGAGGTCAGAGTTACGGAGAACTGTGCGAGGAAAGCTAAAAACAATCATTAAAAAAAAAAAGTTAAGAAGTCCTTTCCATCTGATGAAACTTGGTACATAGGTGAAAGATAAGTCACCTTTTGGAACTGGTCCTAATGACACATTACTTGTTTTTCCAAAACAAGACATAGTAACTTTTCTCCTAAAAGGTTTCTCCCAGTCAGAGCAGAGGTGGGGAAGGACAGAAGCATGCATGTACACATATGCACCCCTTTGCTCCATGGCCAAACCTTAGCCACCCATCTCTTTTTTCCAAGGAAATCTCCTCCCAGTGTCCTATTTGCAGAAGTATTGCTCAAGAAGTTGAGTAAAACTACAACAAGCAGGGGAAGAGGATAGAGCTATAACTGGAAAACAGGAGAAGCAATGATTTCTTCCTCCCCTCCCCATACCACTGCCTCTCCTGCCCAGTTTAGGTAGAATTACACAGAAACATGACCCGTTATTGAAGGAAAAGTCCATTTCCTTTCTCTCCCCTGTACAACCCCCTTTGGTCCTGGCTGTGCAGTGCTTTCTTTTGATAAAGGCACCTTTGGAAAGCACTGGTGGCCCAAAGCACGATGCCCTGATGCCTCCTATTTACACCTGAGATTAGCCCTGCTGCATCTCTCCTGCCCCCAGCCCCAGAACTACCCCCCAGGGCTACGGCAACAGCATGGGGAGAGCAGGTACCACACGAGGCTTCCCACCAGTGGCCGCGTGAACACACACACGTCACGTTTTGCCACGTGCAGGCACCCGCGTGCTGCCTTTGCGCCTTCCACATCACACCGAGTACTTCGCCATGTCACTCTTATCAAAGACAACTTTGGTTGCAAAGTAAATGGCTACCAGGCCAAAGCCGGCAGCCGACACCATGTAGGCAGTCACTGACTGCGTAAACTGGACGATGGACCCCATGAAGAGGGAGGGGACAACCTGAGAGAGGAGGAAAGCACTGTCCAAAATAGCCAGGTCCAAGCAGATCCCTCGGCCAGGAGCCACAGAGTCCGATTCTCCCACCATCATCATGAGCGAGACGTCGCAGGAGGAGCTGACGCACAGAGCTGAGCTGGCAGCTGGAGGAGAGGAGGAAGAGGAGGAAGAAGAGAAGAGGCTCCCAGCATGTCCATTCTGGTAAGGCAGCTTCTGGCTGGAAAGGAGGCCTTTAGAGAAGGCTGATTTCTTGTCCAATCGAGCTGCATCTTCCTCCTCTTTGCTCTTATATTTATGCAAAAATACCTAGGGGAAAGAAGAAGGGCACATGAGGAATGAGTCGTTAGGGTGGAGCCCAGCAAACGAGGTGGGGGGGCAGAGGGGACCCCCGCTTTTTGTGCAAGAGAGCAAAACCGCTCCGTGCTTTGTGTGCGTTGGGTCAGGCTGTTAGATGGGGAGTGCCGGCAGTCAGCCTGGCCCACGTGAGATGGCCTCCAGGAGCCAGCCTGGCTTTTCCCAACTGGCACGGGATCCAAAGCAACCCTGACTCACCGGGGGAACCCGGCCAAGTGGTGCCTCTGTTGTGCTGAAGCTCAAAGCCAGCCCAGGCTGTGCCTGGGGACATTTTGCGCTGAGCCCTGGGTTATCACCTCCTCACTGGGTGCTGGGGGAGTCTGGGCACCAACTACAGCTCACCCCATCCTGAAATCAGCCGATGCAGACTTGCAGGACAGGAGGGAAGGGCCAGAGCCCGCTTTGGACATATCACCAAGCCAGATAGCGCACTCCAGTGCAAACAGAAGTGTTTACAAAGTGGCTGAGTGGGAACCCGAAGCCTTCCTGCAGAAGAGCCCAAAGGGCAGACGAACGGTTCAGAGTGCTGGATGCATGGCCACTTCTTCGTGTCTGGGATACTTAAAAGTGACACCAGTTGAGATGGCACAGTGCTGGGAACTCAGGAAAGAGCTCTTTTCTCAGCTCTGCACCAGACCGTGCAAGCATGACCTCAGCCGAGTTGCTTCATCTGCCTGACCTGAGCCTCCTCACTCAGGCTAGAAAAGGGGGGTGGCGGGAAGAAAAATCTTTTTCTTCTCACCCTTTTTTGCCTCGCTCTGCTCAAGCTGTGAGATCTCTGGGGCATGGCTCACTCCAGCAGTATTCACACAGAGTATTTGGATCAAAAAAGCTCTCCACGTTAACACCAACAAATAATGGGCAGTCGTGTGCAGACAGTGAAAATGCTGCAGAGCTCCAGCTTTAAAACTCCGGGGCATTTGCAATTATGCACAATCACTGGTCTGCATGGGGTAGAGCAGATAACGAAGGACACGTTAATCCATTCTCCGCACGGTGAGATTGAACAAACAAAGAAAATAAAACGGAAAAAATAGCACCTGTTTGAGAGCGGAGGGCACTGCACCCAGCTGCAGGGCTCAGAGGGGCTTGCCTGAACTATCCTTCCTTTTGCAGGAGGGACCCGGACGCAGATCAACGGGAGGGGACCGCTGGTGCAGGCACGTGGGCACTCCAGCTCTGTTGCAGGTCATCCCAAAGCGTTCAGCAGTCTTGGCACCCCCCCAGCTACACCCAGCCCTGCCCCAGTGTGTGTCAGCAGCAGCCAGTCTCTGTTCACGCTGCCCCAGGCCATGGCTGCGGATCTGTAGCACAAACAGTTTCAGATTCAATTGGAGAAGAGAAACCAGACGAGAACAACTTCACTAAATAGCAATCATCTCCCAAAAGCTTTCCCTGGGCTCTGCTCAGCTGCCCTACCCTTCAGCTCCTCAATTCTGCCTAGGCTCATGAATTTACACTTAAATGCGTCAATCCAGGACCATCACTTATGTGGAGCTTAAAAATCCTCCCACGAGCCTCCTATTGCCGTTGGAGTTCAAAGCAACTCCAAACCCAGCACAGAAAGGGCACTGCGTGAGCCAAACAGTTCCAGCCCTTCATATCCCACACTGATGTTCCCAGAAGCCTGCTCGGCTCCCTGAAGGCCACACCACATTTTCTTGGTCCCTATACTGATCCAGGCTAGGACTTCATCGATACGAGTTCTGGCAGGGGTGTCTGAACACCTAGTGTGGAGAATTAATTTAAGTCTAGAGAAAATGACTTAAACACGTACTCACAGGAATGAGCTTAGTGAGAAATTCTGCTTTAAAACCACTCCTTTTAACACAGGATACAACCACGGGAGTCACCGGTGCCTCAATCAACAGCTTCATCTCCTGCTCTAGTTGATGGGGAGTGGTGGGAACGAGGAACCTGGCTCTCCTTAATCTCCTGCAGAAGGTGTGAATGCCCACCATGCATCCCACCTCTACCAAGCTTTCAGGCGCTGTTAGAACGTGTGCAGATCTTTTTCCTCCTGTTCTAGGCAAGGTTTTAGTGGCCATGCGAAGATGAGAGGGCATGCAGGAGAACAGAGCGACTTACACAGCCTGTGCAAAGCAAGGAGCTCCAGCTGAGGTGGCCTTGCAGGCTTTCGCCAACGATCTTGCACAGGGTGGGAGGAACAGCCACTTTGGATGCCCCTTCCGCTGATTTGCTTCGGGAAGAGTGTTTACAGTTTAAAAAAAAAAAAAAAAAAAAA